AACAAGCTTAGCAAAGCACAGGGACCGCGGATCAATTCCCCAGCACCACATGCCAGTCAGCCCCTCCCCCTGGTGGGCTGAACTGGCCGCACACACACAAAATAAATAAATAAATTTAAAAACAAAACATGTATTTGAGAGGGCTGGGGATATGACTCCGCGGCATAAGTGCCTGCTTGGCCACTGCAAGGTCCTGAGTTTGATCTCCAGGACCGCAAAGAAAAAAAGATATATTTGAGAGAGAGCCAAATGGGAGGATCTTGCGCAGCTGTGAGGACCAAGTGAAAGTTGTTAATTAGGGAAAGAAACATATCATTAGAGAAATAATATACATGTGTCTTAATGTAAACATACCTTTTGTAGAGTAAGAAACAAATAATATATAGAATAAAAGAAGCAGAAATACCTATTACATGATTGATAGGGCACACCTTTCAGTGTGTAGAACTGTTAGAAATATGTAAGGGCCAGACTGAATTCTGACAGTTTCCTTTTGCATGGAAAAAACGTAATCAATACTATGTATGTCACAGATAATAAAATACATTTGGCTACAAAGGTGTCTTACTGTAGGAACTGAATAAGCTGAAAGAAATTCAGGTTATCATTGTACATCTGTAAATTAGTCAAAATCAAAATGATGGCATAGAACTACGGTGGCGAGCCTGTGGCACACACGCCACAGAGGAGTGTTCATGTCATTGAAAGCACTAAAGGTTCAACCTCACCAGAGTATAAGTTTGTGAAGCAATAGCTGGCATTAAAGCAGTTTGTTGCTCTAGCTTAAGCAGGTTTTGAGGACTGATAAAGTTTATTGAAGGGGAAGCGGGGCTGCTTAAATGGGCACAAGAGAACAGTTAGGGTTTGGGGGAGGGTTTGTTTTGTTTTATCTTATTTTTTGAGAGAAGGTCTCACTGTGTAGTTCAGGCCGGCCTCAAACTCACAGGGATCCTCCTGCCCCAGCTTCCTCGAGTGCTGGGATTATGAGCGTGAGCCACCATACCTAGCTGGTGGATTGGTTGTTGAGGCAGCATATCACCGTGTTCTCCCAAGCTGGTCTGGAACTCCTGGACGCAGACAGTCCCCCCGAGCATTGGCCCAGGTAGCTGGGCCTTCAGGCACGGGCCAGCATCTGGCTGGACAGGAGCAGTAACTTCATTAGCCGGTTAGGATAACTGTGTATCGAGTTGTGTATCAATGGCAGTTAATTGTGTATTTCAGCATTGCTAGTAGAGAAAGATATTTGAATGTTTCAGGTACAAAACAGGTGAATGCTTGAGGTGATGAATGTACCAGTTGCTCTGATTTGGTTTTTGTGCCTCATATGCCTGTACTGATACAGATCACCACAGCCTATAAGTAATCTGGTATTTTCTGTCAATTAAAAACAAAATAAAAATACATAATATACATAATACTATTATTCTCAAAGCTGGGGATCAAGAAAGTATTTTTTATATATCGCTCTTCCCATTCAGAAGTTTTTCATTTTTAATCTTTTATTTTTTAATTTATTTGATACCCAATCTCATTACGGAGCTCAGACTCATAGTGATCCTCCTGTTTCAGCCTCCCCAGCACTGGGATTACAGACACACGCCACCACTCCCAGTTTTAGTTGTTGGTACTATGTGCCTGGGGTTCCAGGGGTGGTACGGCATGTGGTACTTGGGATCGAACTCAGGTCCTTGTGCTTGCCAGGCAGGTGCTTAGACTGCCAAGCTGTCTCCCTAGCCTGTTTTTCATTTTTGAAACAGAGTCTCAATATGTAGTTCAGGATGGCCTTGGGTTCACTGTGTATCCTAGGCTGGTCGGAACACACAGCAGTCCTCCTGCCTCAGCCTCCCAGGTGTTGGGATAGTAGGTGAGCGCCACCATGCCCAGCCTTAGGCTATTATTTATAATAGAAACAAAAAATGTGCGGAGAAATGGCTGTAGAATCAACAGCTTAAATGAGATTACTATAATTCCACTTTGAAAGTTAAGTAATAACTGTATATAGAAAAATGGGAATGGTTTTATAAAATGGATGGGGAAACATAATAAAAGATAATGGACATTTACATAAATATTGAACCAGAAGGGCTGGGAGACGTGGTCATGGACAAAAGCTCATGGGATTCAGTTGCTCCCATCGCATCAGCTCAGTTCATTCTTCACAAATAGTGATTAAATTTCATCGTCTAGCTAACCATGGCGGTGTGAGTATGTGTGGGGCTGTGGCAGGAAGAGAAGCTAGTGCCGAACTCAAGTGTGATTTTTCCTTGCCCAGCTGAGCTTTTCACCCAGTTGAACCTCACAGTGGATTTCATTAGGGTCCTCTTCTCTCCCGCAGATGGTGATCAGCCACCCTTCTCGGAGCCCAAGTTCCCCACAGAGTGTTTCTTCCTCACGCTGCACGCACACCACCTCTCCATCCTGCCCAGCTGCCGCCGCTACATCCGCAGGCTTCGAGCCATCCGGGAGCTGAACAGGTGGGTGCACGCACATGTGCCCCTGGGCACTGCCTCCTCCGCCTCCATGTCAGGGCCCCTCAGCTGTCCCTTAGCCATCCAGGGTGCTTACCTAGTAGTGGTGCTCCAGGAATTCTGAACCCTTTCTGCTCCTCTCTGCTGACCTTAGCAGCTTTTCCTTTGTACTGTATTGGGAAGCCTTTTCCTTTCTTTTTGGCTGTACTGGAGTGTGAACCCAGGGATATTCTACCTGGGTTTCATTTAGGGTTTTTTTTTGAGACCGTCTCACTAAATTCTCCAGGAGGCACTTGAACTTGTTATTCTCCTGCCTCAGCTTCCCAAAGTGCTGGAATTACATGCGTGTGCTACTGTTTGGCTTCATTAAGAGTCAGTTGGCTTCTAGGCATGCCCCTTTCTGTCTAAACAGTGAAACAATAACTGTGTCTTCCCCATTCAGAGTCATGTATTCTTTTTTTTTTTTTTTTAATTTTATTTATTTGGGGGGGGCAGCTCAGCCCACCAGGGGGCGGGGCTGGCTGGCATGTGGTGCTGGGGGATTGAACCGAGGTCCCTGTGCTTTGCTAAGCTTGTTCCAAGTAGGTGCTTTAGACCACTGAGCCATCTCACCAGCCCAAAGTCATGTATTCTTGCAGGCTAGTGATTCGCCCTTGGACCTGTTGTCCCATGGCCTGCAGAGTCCTGGGGCAAACAGCAGGTTCAGTTTCACTGTTCGTTTGTTTAATGTATTTGGTACAGGGTCTTACTTTGCAGCTCCAACACGTAGTGATCCTCCTGTTTTCAGCCTCCCCAGCACTGGAATTACAGGTGTGTGCCACCATGCCTGAACTCCGTGGCCGGCTACGCGTGCCTGTGGTGACAGCGATCAAAACTGGTCCCTGCACTTACCTAAGCAGATGCTTAGTCCGCTGAGCTACCTCTAGCCCGAGTTTCATTGTTTCTTAATCTAAGCGTTTCTGCCTAGGCACTGGCACTTCCGACCAAGTGGAAGTCCCCAGGGTGTGGGAGCAAACATTTTTTGAACATTCGGGTAATGATAGAGAAGTTACTTCCATACTTAGGTGTAGTCTGGCTATTAGAGAAACTGTGTCATATTTACATTGTTAAAATCATTTATTATATTTATTCCATAGATTCTTTCAGAGGTGTTTTTTGTTTGTTTGTTTTTGGCAGAACCGGAGATTGAACTCAGGTCCTTGTGCTTGCCAGAGAAGCACTTATTCCACTGAGGGTTTTTTTTTTTGTTTTTTTTTTTCTTAGTACCAGGGATTGAACTTAGGATCCTACACTTGCCAGGCAGGCACTTATTCTACTGAGCTATCTCCCCAGCCCCACTGAGTTTTTGGTCTAAACACAATTGTGTTGTCTGTAAATAATGATGGGGTTTTTTGGTTTTTTTTTTTTTACTTTTTTCCATTCTGATGCTTTTTTCCTCTTGTTATGCTTGAGCTTATTGGCTTTAATTTCTAGTAATATGTCAAAAATGGAAATACAGAGAGTCCTGCACCCCTTTATCCTTGGGCTGTGTTCCGACACTCCCAGGCAGTTCCTAAAGCGCTGGCTCCTGCCAGGCCCCGTGTGTGCCATGAATTTTCCTGCCTGTGGATATCTACAGTAGATTGTGAGCGATCACTAGGCGCGGCGTGGCGTGGCGTGGTGTGCATCCAAATCCCAGCAGTCAAGCAGGTCTGCGTCTCAAACACCAGGATAAATACATTTAAATTACAAGTGAAATACCGTAAGAAGCTGACAATAGGAACAAAATAGGTCAGTTATACTGGAGTCAAGCGATGTGACGGTGTGCAGTCTGTCTCTCTGGAAATGTCTCGTTATCCTAACCGTGGTGGACCATGGGTAACTGAGACCGTGGGTCGGGAGGTACTTGTAACTCTCACGTGTGTCTTGTCCACTGGGGGAAGGAAAGCTTTTATCTCATTGGATATTCAGTCTGTTAATATCCTTTCAGGATTTTTGAGTCTGTTCAAAGAAGAACTGGCCTATAATTTTCCTTTCTTTCTAAGTTCTCCTTAGATTTTTGCCTCATTGAAGGAACCAAGGAATGTTCCTTTTCAAAATATTCTTCAGAAGAGTTCA